CAAAGTGTGACCACAACTGGTGATCAATGTGTAACCCAGACCCACAATCAAGGTGTGACCAGGGCCCATAATCCAGGTGTGACTAGGATCTGGAGTTGAGGTGTGAGGGGGACCTGCAGTTCCCTCCCAGCTCTGAGTGGAGGAGAGCCACCAGGCAGGGGCCTGAGTTTGCAGCAGGCCCTATGCCTCGTGGGATTTCATAACATGCTTTGTTTTCATTCTGTTTTCTCGGATACCTTTTATTTGCTGCCTGCGATTCTTGTTTTCCATTTCCAGTGGTGCTGTAAGATTTCCTTTCAAAATATAATCACTTAAGTTAAAAAAAATCCATTTGAAGAAAACCCTCAAGTAAACAGCAGTGAGGCAGTGGGCGGATGCAGGGTGGAGTGGATCATGGGCTTGGTGGCCAGGGGTGGGGTGGGAGTGAGCAGGAAGGAGGTGAGTGGGAGAAGAGCTGGGGAGAGGGGTGACAACCCTCCCCGGGATGGGACGCACCCAGACCTGCCCTGACCTCCCTGATTGTCCCCCCTTCCCCCAGCAGACTCCTCGTAGAGGCTGTGGCAGTAACCTGTATAGCCTGTCTTCCCCTGGGTCTCATGGTCACCTATGGCCCTTAAACTTGGATCCAGCAGGCTCTTGCCTGCCAATCCCTCAGCTCCTCAGTTGGTCACAAACCCAGTGATGTTTCACAAAACAAGTGAAACTCCCATATGCTGAAGCTAGAGCTGGCAGAGTCAGCCTCAGTGGAAATGGCCCATGGCACATTTCTAGCAACTCAGCCTGCGGTGGTCACATAGGCACCATGCCCATGGCTTATTTCTGGGGATTCTGAGGCTCCATGTCACTTGGTCACTCTGTTGTGGCTGGAAAAGCCCCAGGAACTGAACAAGCAGGATGTGCATGGAACTCCACAGGCCTAAATGACTCTAGGACAGATCTTTAAATGCCAAGCTCAGGCTCATGTTGCCACTGATTGAGGTGAATTCCTGGCAGCAGACTCTTGGGGAGCTGGCCTTGCACCCCACCCACCTTCCCACTCCTGGCAGGCAGGGACCCTTCTAGAAGGTTGTGGATGCTGCTAGTGGATGAATCAGATTCCCTGCCAGACAGAGTGCTGCCTGATGTGCAGCCATAACTCTTGACTATTTGGAGGCCATGGAGATGCTGCAGGTGGAGTGGGTTGGGGGCTGGGGCAATGTCACAGGCTGGGCAAGGTGCCCAGTGGAGACACACAGGGGCTGGTGTGAGGGTTAACAGGGATGTGTTGTAATAAAGAGCATGAAGCTGCTCATGTCCTCCACCCTATCTGTGACCCTCTGACCCCACTCCCAGGGTCACATGTGTAATATGTCTCTGTGGCAGGTGTATCCTGGGCACCCTCTCTGGATTCTCTTCTTGAGGATGAGCTGGGTTCTGGAGATCTCCAATCTTGCTGTCTTGCTGTGTGTTCCATGTGCTGAGTGGCCTTCAGGAGAGTTGGGTGCTGGCAGGGCCCCATCACATTTCCTAGGAGGCATTGTGTGGAGGTGACATCTGGGTCAGGACTGACCTTCCCCGGTGATAGGCCCTGAGGTGGTGGCAGCCAGGCAGGTATTTCTGCCCATTGCTTGTCTCCCTAGCCTGTGCCTGGGACAGCATTTTTCTTCCCTGCTCCACATGCCCTGTTTTCTGCCAAGGAATGTGAGCAGCTATGGTGTGCACAGCCTTCCTGTAGACCTTGGATGGCTGACCAAGTAGGAACCTCAACCAGACTGAAAGGGCAGGGCCGGTTGTCCTCCTTGGTCACACTCACAGGCCATCCACAGCCCTGCTGGTGCTATCTCACCTGGTCCAGCCAGGCCCAGCTCTACCCCATGCTGAGGGAGGACACTGCCTCTTCCTCCAGGAAGCCTCCAGACACGCATGCAGAGCTTCTGGCTCTGGCACCCTCTGGGCTGGCCAGCTCCTTGATGGTCCCAGACCTGGGGCTGGTCAGGATTCCCTCCCCCTGGGACCCCAGCAAGGCTTGGATGGGTTTGTGTTTGCACCAGGAATCTCCTGCCTCTGCTCCTTGGAGTTTCTCTTAGTAGCCAGGGCTGTCATTTCCATCCTTGCCCCAGCTACCCTCCTTCTTCAACTCATCCTATTTAAGGGTCTGGGGGCCAGTTGGGCTGGAGGGAAGGGAACATGTTCAGGAAGCCCACTGCCCACCTACCTGCCATCTTGGGATGACTTGCAGTCTAGGAGACTGAAGTTTTGAGATCCGAAGTCTCAAAGTCTGTGCAGGTCACGGAGCAACCAGACTACCTTCCAGCTGAAACCTGCAGCAGTGTCTTCAGGGAAGTGGGGCTACCCAGGGGTGGCTCCTCACAGTTCTGAAGTTTCAGGCCCTTGTGGACCCTTGGAAGGAGAGAAATGAGCATGGGGCAGGTGGACATGGAGAAGATCTTCCTCTTCCCTGGGGTGACCTATGGTAGCCTGTGGCCAACACTACAGGGTCAACTCAATGTTTGTTGCTTTCAAAGGAATGGATTTTTCTGCCCCATCTGCCTGTCCTGATGGGCTTCAGGGGTGGAGCACCCATGGCTTGAGCTCTGTGTGTGCTTGAGGCAGTGAGTACTGCCTCCACCACTGCTCCCCCATGGCGTCCCTCACCAAGTGCTGAACTCAGCCGCAAGTCCTTGGCCTTGAGTTTCTTGGTGCTGTTCAGGCCCAGGCCTACCTGTCCCTCTGTCCTCTCTTGATCCAGGGTGGGGGGTTTCCTCCTTTCCTTTACTTGACCCCTGGGCCGTAGCATTCCCAGGTAGGTAGAGCTGCCATGGAGCCCCTTCCTTCCAGGTTGTGATGTGCTACAGCTGCCTCTCCAAGTGAAAGCTGATCATTTGGGTGAGTCTCTTCCATATCCACTAGTGGGTGTTCCACTGGTAGCTTGGAGTCTATTGGGAGCATTTGCACCACAGTAATGGACAAATGTGCCCAATCAGAGTCCCCTGCCTGTGGCCCCTTCAGCAGCACCTTTCACCCCGGAGGAAGCCCCTGGTCACCTGGCTAGGCAGCTGCCACTCAGGACCTGCCATACTCCCTGATGGTCCTTGGAGAAGCCTCATGGGTCAAATGAAGCCCATTGCCAGAGCATGGGGAGCTCCAGACTGGACTCCTCATCCTCACCCAGCATCTAGAACGGGCCCCCGCCCTAGGGTGAAGGAGGCTCTGTCTAGAGCAAAGACAATGCCTTCCCAGGTTTCCTGTGTAGACAGGCAGTTGGGGGTGCCAGGGGGTGCCAGGTGCCCACACCTCCCAAACTTCCCTAGGCTTCCAGAGTGGTTTCTAAGAGGGAGGGTTTCCACTGGGAAAAATTAATCCTGGAGTAGCTTGGATCCTTGGAAGCTCACCTCTGGCTCCACAAAGTAAGAAAACAGATCCCTTTGAACAGGATTCCAGGATGTCTCAGGAGTGAGAAAGACTTGTCTAGGTGCCTGAAACCCATGCCACCCGGTCCTGCATCTGCCTGGGCAGGCTGTCCCTAGGGTGGGGAGTAAGGTAGGTGCCTCCCCCACCCCAAGCCCTGCTTGGCTGGATGGCCCCACTCACTGGCTGTGTTGCTTCCATTCATCAGGCCTCAGGTCTCATCGAGCCCCCAGCCTTTGAAGCTGCAATAAATATTGATTCAGGTAAATCGATGCGTTTCCGAGGACTTGGGTCGATAGCAAAGTTACAAGGATCAGGGCAAAGTCATACACGTGCCCAACTCCAGCATCCAGGAAGAGCCAGGCAGGGTCTGAAACAGGACTGGCCATGTATCTGGAGTCCCAGTGCCATGGCCAGAGGCTCCTGAGGGGCTGGGGCAGGAAGGGCTTGGTAGACACTGGCCCGAAAGTTCTCACCTGGTCACAGTCAAAGGGATTGACAGGCAACATCTGGCCAGGTGTTCCTCCCTGTGCTGACCTCCCAGATGCACAGCTGCCTCTCCTGTCCTGTCCAGGACCCCAGCAGGTCTCCAGTGCAAGTCCAGGCCAGTGCAGAAGACCTTAACAAGACTTTGTCCCTTGGGATTTCTGTTCCCCTGAGGGGGAGCTCCCCACCTCCTAAGCCACCTCTTTCATCTCTTGCCCTAACAGCACTGCACCGTGGCCCTGGGAGCCATAGAAGTAGAACATTCCCATCAAGCACACGCATCATGGGGCAGCCTCTCCCTGCAAGGTCATTCTGGCTGACCCCCGCCATACACACACGTACTGGGCCAGGCCCCTCCCTCTTTCTGATCTCTTCCCCCGATCTAGTCCAAATCTCTGAATGCCCATGGGCCCGTGGGGTCTTCCCACTCTCACCATTCCCCTGCTTTGGGGATTTTGTACACACTGCAGCCTCTGCCTGGAACTCTTGTCTTCCCTTCTCGGTCCATGTCCACCACTGTACCCTCCCCACCCACACTTCTTCTGAGCTCCCACCTGCCTGGACCTGCCCTTCTCCAGAGTGTGTGGCTGGGGACACAGTCCCTGGAAGGAAGCCAGCAACCCTCAGCGTCATCCTAAGGGTGTGGCTGAGGGGGATGAGCTCAGAGATGCCATCTGGGTGGGTGGGTGTCTGGGATGAGCCCTGTTTACCCTCCTTTCACACTTTACACCCCCCATTTGTTCCACTCCTTCTCTCATCATTTCTCATGGCTCTGACTTACTCTGCTGCTTCTGTTCCTTGAACTTCAAGGCTGAGTCTGGTGTGCTCCAGCAGGGCCACTTTATTTATGAAAATTTGGCAAATGCAGATGTGCTGTTTTCAGCTAATAGCCCCAAATCACTCGCATTGCCCCATTAGCAGGGAAACCCGCCTGGGTACATTACATACTGCCTAAGTAGGAGCTGAGGCAGAGGTTTTATGACCCCATAAAACTTTGGGAGTTTATTGCTATTGAACAAACATGTAATCCAATGCTTCGAGTCCAATATATGTAGCCAGTGGCACCCAGAGCCAGCTGTGGCTATGGCTCCCACAGCTGGGCTGAGCTGTGTAGATATTCAGGGGCTTTGGAGCTGATTGAAGATTGATTGGGTGTAGGACAGGGGCAGGATTTATGGTGGCCATGTGGGGCTGGTCCTTCTGCATATTGAGTAATCCGAGGATAGCTGATGCCTAGGGCCTGGTCAAGGATGCTGGACAGAGAGTGAAGGAGTATGTGTCTCCCGGGGAAAGGTGGACCAGCATAGCTCCTGAAATGGAGGGACAGAGGGTCAGTCTTGGGGAGGGGTCAGTGGCTAAGCCTTACCCACCAGAGGGCCTTACTCATTCTTCCATCCAACCATTCCTCTAGCCATCCTTCTACCTGTGCATCAATTGATCCACCCATTTGTCCACCCAGCCACCCCACCACTCACCCATGTGTCCTGCCTTCCATCTATCTATGCATCCACTTATCCACTTATCCATCCACCTCCTCGTCCACCCTGCCCATCCACCCACTTAGTCATGCAACCCTGTGCCTGTCCACCCATTCATTTACCTTCTATCTATCTGCCCACCTGGCCACCCATCCTTCCCTCTCTGTACTGCCCCTTATTCAGGAGCCAAGATATCTTTCCAGTGGCACAGATGACCCAAGCCTGGGAAAGCCAGCATGATACAGAAGATCCTGGCAGTATGGCTTTGACTTTGACCAGGGCACCCCCCCAAGAATCCCTTTATCTGTCAGTTTCATAAGTTTATTTTAAATAATGGAGACCCTCACAGTTAGTAGCACTTTATTTTCCCTTTTCAATTTTGTGCTGGGTACACATTCTTTCTACCAAGTTCATATATGACTCTGAACTTGTCCATCCTTTGCATTTGTGTCATGCTGTTGGATTCCATCATCAACACTTGTGTATGTGATAGTCCATGAGGTCGTTCCCCTAGAACAGGTGGAAATGCTTCTCCAGTGTTGGCTATTATAGCTGATTCTGTCTTTTCGCAGTTAAAAGTAATGCTGTGGCTGCCGTCTGAGCCTGAGTGGTTAGCTCTGCCCCTCTGAGTATCTGATGAGCACAGATTGCAGGAGAGGGTGCTCCTGGGTTGAAGGCTAAGCATCTCATCACTCTGGGCATGTCTTGTCCTACGACCTCCAGGCCTGGCCTGCTGATCTGTGGCCTTGGCTGAGGAGGGACTTCTTCGGGGCCTGCCAAAGTGGCCTCGTGTTTTCAGTAGTGTTTGGTGGGGCTTATGTGGGAGCGGGGGCCCTGCCTTGCATGTCTCACGTCACCAGAGTGCAGCCATCTGTGCCGCCTCGTCTGCAGTGCACTCACATCCTCTGTGATGTTTTTGCTTCAGATCAGCTCGTGCCATGTTAATGGTATTAATTTTTTGTCACGTTAGTGTCAAAAATTTACCCAACTCTTTGCTTGCCTTTTAACTTGATGTTTTCTTTGGAGTCACCTGAGGATTTAGCTTTCACGTAGAGTATGCTCATCTTTGATTTTATCCTTAGAAAGTTCTTTCCCACCGGGGAATCAGCAAATATTTGCCTCTGTTTACTTCCTGTTCTGTTCACTGGTTTAAGTTCCTTTCTGTTAGCATTGCCTTATCCTCCATCCCACATGGGTGCCCCCCCCCACTCTGATCCACTGGATGCTCTGGGTCTCTCCTCTCTTTTTTCCTTATCCCTCTTTCCCTCTCTCCTCTCTCCCACGTTTCCTCCCTCCCTTCCTTCCTGCATAAACTTTTCTCAATAGCCTGGAGACTGCCCCTCCTGAGGGCTAAGACCCTGGCATGGCTACCTGCAGAAAGTACAGCCCTGTAAAGCAAGAAAGTGGACATTCCCTGTGTGAGAGCAAGATAGAGTTGGGGACAGGGACCTGGGAGCTGGAGAAGAGAGTAGCAGGGTGAGCTGGGGACCCTAGAACAGTCTCGGAGTGATTACTGACCGGAGGCCACGTCTGTTCTGGGGGATGCACTGTAGAACTATGCCAGATGTTCAGGACCCAAGGTATAGGATGTGAGTGGGGGAAAGTGACATAGCTAGGTGGGGACTGGACCTCTCTCGTATGCCCAGGGGAGCCTCTGGTCCTGCTTGATGGCTCTCATAGAAAGGAGAGACAAAAAGCTCTGATCACTGGAGTGGGGGATGGGAACTGATCTTTGAAAGATGAGTACAACTACGTGTGCTAAAGGCCAGGGTCTTGTCGTTTGCTTTACTGAGTGTGTTAGTCAGCTTTCCTTCACTGTGATAAAATACCTAAGAAAAACAGCTTGAGAGGAAAGGTTTATTTGAACTCACAGTTTCAGGTGTTGCAGTTCATGGTTGCCTGGCTCCATTGTTTCTGGGAAGGTGGTGAGCTAGAGAGGCCAAGATGAAACAAAGCAAGAAAGCAACTCACTTCATGGAAGGGGGATTAGGAGAGAGAGAGGGAGAGAGGGAGAGAGAGAGGGGCCAGGGACAAGATACTCTCTTCAAGGACATGCAGTCATGCAGTCCAGAATGACCCACTTCCTCCGACTTGGTCCCACTTCCTAGAGTTTTCACCTTCTCCTCACTATTGCCACAAGCTGGGGACCAACCCTCCAACACGTGAGCCTTTGGGGAGCATTTAACATCCAAACCATTGCTGGCTGTGGTGGTGCATGCCTGTAATCCTAGCTAGTTGAGGAGCTGAGACAAGAGAATCACAAATTTGAGCCCAGCCTGGGCAAATAAGAGAGACCCTGTCTCAAAATAAAAAATGAAAAGGGGTGGGATGTCGCTCATTGTGATGGTCCTGGATTTAATCCCCACTAGCACAATCAATCAATCAATCAATCAACCAATCCAAACCGTAGCAAGAGCTTCATCCTGTCTGCAGTGTGGACAATGGCCACCAGGGAGGGTTGAGTGTCCAGGCCTGGACAGAACCCATGGCATCAGGAGAGACATGCCCAAGGCAGTTGGGACCTTGGTAGCCTGACTGCCTTCTGCCTGGTGTACTCGCACCCCTGCCACCCCAGAACACCTGCGTCTACTGGCCTCTTGGGAGGAGGCCCTGCTTTTGTCCTCACCCACAGGGTACATGTACTGGTAGACTCCGTTGAAGATGGTCTTAGGTGCGAATCCAAGCTCTGCCCACATGAGAGATGCCAGTTGAGCCTCTGCCCATCTTGAAGCTTCTGCTGCTTTACCTGTAAAGTAGATAATCAGTCACTGATACGTGCCCAGAACAGAGCCTGGTGGGTGGGAGGTCCTCCTGGTATGTTCCAGAAGTGTTTTCTCTCAAGGACTTCCTGGACCCCCTTGTCACAAGGCTCTGAGTCTCACTTCTGACCCATACGCTCCAGCCCCTCAGTGGGTTTTTTTTTGTGGGTCTATATGAATTTCAATGCTGAAGTGTGGGCCTTCCACTCTGATAGCAATGGAGTCTTTGGAGAGTGATAGATTTAAATCGAGCATTTGTGCTTAAGGAACCGGGCAGCGAGCTGGCTCCTGCACGGTCCAGGAAGTTCTCCTGAGAGAACACATTGCTTCCTTCCTTGGCCTCCTGCTCCTGCAGAGAATGCACCTACAGTGGCCCAGACGCCATTTCCTGACCTCTGGGCAGCTCCAGATCTTGACAGGGGCTATAAGGATGGGGTGAGGGTGCATGGAGTCAGAGCACAGGAGGAGCCTATCCTACCCCTCTACAATGCTAGTACCCCGTGGGGTGCCCATGGGTGGCTGAGCCTGGGACACGACCTCCCCTGGCCCTAGTGCTTTCACCTTCATCTACGGCCAGCTGGGTGAACACAGTGAGGGGGAGCAGCTCCCAAGGAAGGACCCTGCAGGATGTGGAGCAAAGCAAGCGGTCCTTGGGTCACTGGAGAGCCAAGCCAGGCACAGATGGGGACCAAGACAAGACTGGTGCATGGCTGGGATAAGATGGAGCCACAGCAATGGACTACTCCCATCCTTGGCCACAAATGCAACAATTCAGGCTTAGTTGTCACAGAGAAGAAAGAAACTCAGAACTCAGCTATAGGGTCCTATGCATCTCCCATATGATTGGATACCAGCACTGGCCACATTAACAGAGGTTGAGGCTTAGAGGAAGGGAAGGGGTGGATCTGCTTTGCCTGGGGCTGGCTGTACAGAGAGGGCCTTGAAGCTATGGAAGAAGTGGGTACCAGTGGTCAGTGTGGCACCATGAGCAGCACCTACAACTGGATATGGACTGAGTGACAGACTGGCCTGGCCTCCTGGGAGGAGTGCAAACTTCATGCAAACCGGGGGCAGCCCAAGTCCTAGAGGTGGTGTTGGGAGGCAGAGGTTCAAGGCAGAGTCTCAAAGAGCCCGATCTGTTGTGAATAGGACTAGGACAATCTCTGGGTGCCCCTGTTCCTTGGGGTACAAGGTGGCAAGTCAGGAAGACCCCAGGAATGGTGCAGGAGAAGAACCCTGTGAGTAGAGCAGGTGACCATCTGGAGGGGCTGGGGAGACCCTGAGCCCCAGCCTGGGATCACGGTGTCCCTCACGTGGGCTCAGCTTCTCCCACACAACAGCTGTGTCATCATTATGGCTGAAACGCGACCCGTTAGCTGCAGGGCGGGGCAGGTGCCATATTCAGAGGATTAATGGACAGGGAGAGGAGGGGCTGTACCACTTTCTGGCTTGTCAAGTTAATTATCAGCCTCGATTAACACTCAACCAAGGCCTGCGCCCCATGCCTGTCAACTCATTACTGCTAATTGCAGGGACTTTGTGGCCCCTCCAGCCCCAGTCACCTCAGTCATGGCCCCTGCCCTGTGGAGGCCTAGGGATTGGGCTATGGGGAGGGGAATGGGACCTGGGGGCTGGAAGCAATCAGCCAGCACCTCTCTGCCAGCCTCCATGGGCCTAGAGCAACAGGATCCTTGGATCCCAAGTTTTGCTCTCACCAGCAGGTTCAGAGCAGAGGTGGGCAGAGAATCTGCCAGGGTGGGCATGGCTCTGCCAAGGGCAGGGGTCTGAGAGCTGGTCCCACCTCTCCCTGTGCTCCTCCCCAGCCCACCCCAGTCTTGGTGCCTTGGGACTGTGCACCGCCTGACCCACATTTCCTGCTGAGGCCATCCCAAAACCTATAGAGGTTGAAGAAAGGTTGTAAGACTCAGTCACTCAACAAACCCTCTCCCGGATATACAGGGCTGGGTATTGGGGTGGGAGACTAACCTGGACCCTCCAAGATGTCAGCTGTTCAAGTCATCCTTTTCCATGGGGACAAGTGTCTTTCTGGAGGCTCAGAGCTGCAAGTACCACACCCAAGTGGTCTGGAAGGTCCTGAGCCTCTCTGGCTGCACCCAGAGTCCAGAGTAGCATTCATGCTCCATATCCTGGGTATAGCTGAGAGCATGCAGACAGGCCCAGTGTTTCCCCCAGGCATCCCCTGTTCCTTTGTTGTCTTACTTGTTTCTAGGCTGCTTCGGCCCTTGCAGAATCCTCCGTGGTCACCTTGTGAGCAGTCAGGCTCCATGATTCCCTGGGAGCAGTGCCTGGGACTCTTCAGATTTAAATGCAGCCCCTGAAAACTGAGACCTGAATGTGGCCGGCATCAGCCCTTACCTCAGCCTTTCTTGCAATTCTTGGATGGATGGCTCTTTCCTCATCATGGGGACCGAGTGCACCTGACTCTGTAGAGTCTCCCTGAATTATGGATTTAATAGCAGAGGAGGCTCACAGGGCTGCCTGGGTTGCTCTGTGCTGGCTCAGGGCCCCGGGAGGCCGGGGGATCTGAGGGCCAGGCCCTGCCATCGGCCGTGCTCACCCTGCTCCCAGTCAGTGCTGAAGAAGCAAGGGGAGAGATTTATCTTTCCTGGCTTTACGAGGTACTAACCGAGAGAAGTCTGAGAGGCAGAAGCTGAATAATTGATGGCCCTGCCTCACTGGGGGAAATCCGCTGAAGCTGATGGGCTGGGGCTGAGGTGGAGGGGTGGTGCAGGGACTGGGGTGCCTCCTCAGCCACTCCTTTTCCTGATAGTCTCAGCCTCCCTCCCAGGAGCACCCCACATCTGCGGAGGGATCTGGCCTCTTCCTGTGTGCTCTTTCTTTTCCCTGTAGCCCACCTCCAGCCAGAAGGCAGGGCCAGAGTGCTCCTGCACTCTCAGCCAGGCAGCTCTTGGCTCTTGGGCCCTGGGGCAGCTAGATGCCCCTCAGGGCAAAATGGCTGAGGAGCTGATTGTCCAGGGCACAATTCCTTCCTAAACTGGTTTACGCTTGTCCTGCCCCTGGGGCCGGGGCCTGTACCTCTTGCAGTTGTGAATAATCCTGCCCTTTTTCTCAGACCCAAAATGAAAAATATAAGAAAGAAAACATGCTAGGTGACCCTTCCAAGCCTGGGCTGGGATGGAGGAAAGCAAAATTTTGTTTCATAAAAATGAAATTAATCCCTCCACAGTAAAGAAGCAAGTATTTACCACTGAACCACACCCCCAGTTCTTTTTAAAATTTTAAGACAGAATCTCAATAAGTTACCCAGGCTGGTCTTGAGTTTTTGATCCTCCTGCCTTAGCCTTTCAAGTAGCAGGAATGATAGGCTTGCACCACATGCCCCGCCCCAGGCAAGTTTTCTAATGCAGTGCCTGGTGCAGGGGGGAAAGACCAGGAGGAGGGGCACAGAGGCCTGTCTGGGGAACCAGTCTGTGGCCCACTCACCTGGCACCTCAATGGCTGTTGCACTGAGCAGAGTTCGGATCCACCTTGCCTCAGTGTCCCTTCTGGGCCCAGCCTTGTGTTCAGGGGGCCTGGACAGGGGCTGGCTTAGGGGACACTGGCTTCCTAGATGTTCCTAGTTGCTGGAATGAATGTACAATAAAACAGTCATGCACTCTGAACACCAGGGCTTTTGAGAGAGTCACAGAGAAAGAGGCCAAGTCATCGGAACATAGGGTGACCTAAACCACCCTCTGCAGTCCTGGATACCACAACCCTGTACTTCTTGCTTGCTCTACATTTTGTCCCTGGGCCCAGTGTCCTGGGCCTGGCTCTGGTCCTCTGCCTGTGACACCCCCCCACCCCACCCCCGCCCCGGAGCCCACACAAGAGAAAGCATGTACTGGACCAGTGGTGGGCGGGCCTATCATCTGCTGAGTTTGTTTTCAATTAACACTTATTTGGTGAAGTTTTCCTCCCGAATCTCCCTGCACTCAGGCAGACACCCTTGGCCTAGCGTAATCTGCTGAGCCTTTGCTCAAATATAAGCAGCTTTGCCACTTTCTAAACATGACTAATCCAATTTGGGTTTTGGGGATTGAAGGTGGGCAGCAGGGGGCAGTGAATCAGTCTCTGACACCCCCAGGTCCAAGCAGGAGGAGCTGGGGAAGAATCTGTTTTGGGGCAGGGGGTGGGGTCTTGGGGCAGCCAGGGTGTCCCCTCCCAGTCTCACTAGGCCTCCTGCTACAGAGCGAGGGTGGTGCCCGGGAGACTCAGCCGAGAATGCTGGCCACAGACACAGAGCAGCCCCTTCCTATGGGCCCAAGCTGACCCTTCCTGCTGCCCCCTGGCCCCACCACTGTCACCCCATTTGCCCCCTCCAGACAGTACCCAGCATAGTGCATTCTTCATCCCTGCAGCCCAACTCTACAGAGACCAGATTCCATCCCCCAGCCCACTTCCTAAAGGACCAGCCAAGTACCAGGAGTGGGAGGTGGGGCCTCCACGTCCCTGGGAGATGGGGCCGACCCTCCACAGCCTGGAACCACAGCCAACCCCCACCCCTTGTCAGCACTTGTAGGGTTTCCTGTCCCTGGTGCACCCTGGCTTGACCGGGAGGGCACAGGGCCCCAAGGCCTCTTGCCCCAGAGTTGCACTCTGTGCCCTGCGTGAGGTCCAACTGCTGGATCTTTCCTGCCTGAGGCAGAAACTGCAAAGCTACCCAGAACACACACGGCTCCCAGTTGACGGATTCAATTCAATTCCACAAATATTGACCCCGAGTCTAATCCACTCGTCCTCCAGTGCCAGCTCATTCCTCTGTGGGGCCCTGTGTGGCAGCCTTGTGTCCCGATTAATCCAATCCAACAGTGTTACCGGTTCATGGTGAGGGAGCTGAGCTCCTCTGGGGCTGAGAGAGGGAATAGAGTTGGGATCTGATCTCAGCAGGCCTGGACTATGGGAGGTCAGATGGGATAGGCAGGTGGGCTGTGCTGCTCTGGCAGTTCCATCAACTGAGGGTCTACTACGGCTGCTGAGCTGGGGGCCACACAAGGCTCCTGAGGCCACACTGGGAGGGTCTTGGGGCTCATCCTAGATCTAAGGGTACCTGGCCAGAGCATAGGCCTATGTGGGGTACCTCAGCATAGGGTAGTGGGTGAACAGGGGCAAGGACAAAGCCATTCCCCTCAGTAAGACAGGCCCAGATGCCTGGGGGCTGCAGCAGGTACTCAGTATGTGCTCCAGGCTCCTTCTACTCCTTCCTGGGGTAGATCTTCTCTGTTCTCTTGGGAGCTCTGTTTTTCCTTTATCTGGCCACTTGGTTCTGTCTCTCAGCAGCTTTGCTTGGGACTGTAGGTGGCTTCAAGGCCTGGGGTGAAGGGAAGGGATCTGAGTAGGAGAGAAAGTGATGGAGGGCAGGATAGCACCGGCTGTGACAGGAAGGGGCCCAGGGCAGCAGCAGAGCACTGGCCATGTGGTCCAACCACTCTGCCCAGCTGTGTGTGGGCTCAGGATACTGCGGGGAAGTGTTGAAATTGAGTGTACAGGGGGCCCCAAGGCTTTGGTTCTTTGTTAAACACAAGAAGAACAGTGATGTCCCACCTCAGTAGCCCTCTGGCCCAGGGCCCTGGAGGCACCCCCTGCAGGGGAAGCCGTGAGCTCCTTTCTGCCTTTTCTCCTCGGCCCAGGAGGGCCTCGTGTGGGGGTTGCCTTGGAGTGGGCTGGACTGTACCTGTGTGGAGAGGAAGGGCTGTGGGGGTGTTGGCTTTGAGCTGAGGCCCCAGGAAAGCTCCTGCCCACCTTTGTTTGCTTCAGCTTTCCTGACTTAGCAGGTAATGTCTGCTGGGCACTGCAGCTCTGTGGTAACCCCAGCACGGGGACATTTATCAGAAATGGAACTGATGGATTAAAGAGGAACCAAGTGAATTGATTTTTTTCCCTGGGCACTTAAATGCTGCTCTCTATCAGGCAGAAAACTCCCAAGTGGGGTAGTCGGGGACAGGTAGGGAATGATAGTATGGCTGTGGGACAATTTTAAGGGACAAAAGGTGGGCCATGGGACAGGGTTGGTGAGCTGGGCGTGGGACCAGGCCCCAGATCCTACTCCTGCCTGGTATGTGGCAGAGGAGCCTTAATTACAAGTCCTGTCACCTCCAGCCAGGTGGGAACCCAAGGCTTGCCCCTTCTCCTACCACCTGTGACACCAGACCAGTCCTCTGGCTTCTGAGCCTCAATGGTTTTGGAGTAATCCTAGGGAGGAGTGAGCCAGTGATTCATTCATTCATTCATTCACTCATTCATTCATATACTCTTTTATTCATGCATGTGACAAACACCTCAGCAAAGAGATAATGAGCAGCTCCAGAAAGGCACAGGCAAAGACGGTGATGATCCAGATGGGGTGTGCAGAGAGGCAGCCCCCGTCTCTCCTCTTGGGAGATTCAGCTTCAACATGTGTAGGATCCTGGCCCAATGCATACTCATACACACTTTGTAGTGCCCCACCTGGCCTTCCTACCCTGCTCTGCCCTGTCTCTTTCCTGCTACCTGACTAATTGGCCCCAGGTCTAGATGGGGGCTCCATTGAGCACATTGGTTCTCTTTGTTCTACTGTTGATCCTAGGAATGTAGTTGGAAGCCCCACAGACACTGCAATACCCTGGCTGGAATGCTGGACCATATGGACCACGCACAGTGGCTCCTGGGCAGCCAGGGTGAGGTATCCACTGTGCCTGTGTTCGGGCCTGGCTGCCAATGGGCAGTGGAGGTAATCAGCAAATGCTGGAGAGAGAAGGGCAGGTGAGCCAGCGCCTCCAGGCCTGGACTGGAGTGCAGCCCTGAAGAGCTCATGGTGGCAGGCAAGTCAAGAGGGGGCCTGGGTGTGGACCACCCTCTTTGGAACCTGGGAAAGATGAACTCTGGGAGAATGCCTTGCAGCCTGCAAACTGGGATGGGGCTAGAATTCTGGGCCCTGGGAACCTCAGGGACTCACTTCATCCTTGCACAGCCCCGAACACACACTATCCCTCTCTGAAAAAAGGTGGTGACACATAAAACCCTCGGGTGGGCTGGGATATTCAGCCCCAGATGGGGCCTCCATAGGGCATTCTGAGTCTGCCTAGGGGAACAGGGAATCCTGGTGCTTGTCAGGGCTGTGCCTGAGCCTTGTTCACCCTGCATTTGGCCCTGTAGGGGTGAGGTAAAGCAGCAGAAGTCTCCTGTCCTCAGACTGAATACAGTTCCCAGCTATACACCCTCGCCCAAGGTGAGACAGGCTGGCCCAGCTATCAGCAGCAAAGGCCCAGTCAGCTGTGGCTCTCAACCCTTGCTGGTCTCTTATGATTAATCATAAGAGAAATGCTGAGCTAGGAAAGCAAAGGGCACCTGAGGGCTGCACTCCTGCGGCAGCAGCCAGGAGCTTCAGGTGGTGGTGGGGCACCAGGGAAGAACAGTCCAGGGCCTCCCTGGTCAGAGGCCAGGACAGTGCCAGGTGGGATCTGAGGCCCCACCCAGGCCAGCAACGCTTTCACCTTTCAGTCCCCAGCCCCCACCACTCTGGGCTCTGAGCTCTGGTGTCTGCAGCCAGGGTAGGCCACAGCAGTCAGGGTGCTCAGATCCAGCCCCACATTCCGGTGTTACACCCTGGTGTGGCAACCTC